CCCCCTCCCCCCGCCCGCCCCCGCCCCCGCCGATGTCATCGTCCATCGCGATGTTTCACTGTAGACATCGTCCGATGTCAATTTTGTAGACATCGCCCAACCCTACTTGATACTTTTTTCAGGATTCTTTAATGAATAGAAAGCTCAAAAGCATTTATTTGAAATATAAATATTTTGTAACATAAATGTCTTTACTGTCATTTTTATCAAATGAATGCGCCCTTGCTAAATAAAAGTATTCATTTATGAATTCAGTATTGTCATCACAGGAATAAATTACAATTTAAAATATATTCAACAAGAAAACGGTTCTTTTAAATTGTAATATTGTGATCTTATGTTCCCATCATCCCCATAAATGCACAACTCTGTATGTTTGACTCTGTTTCTCCTCCTCCTCCTTCGTCTCCTATAGTGATGGAGTCAGCCATTAGTACATCCACTCAAGTGCCAGATGAGTTTGACCGTAATGTTCCACGGATCTGTGGTGTGTGTGGAGACAAAGCCACTGGCTTTCATTTTAATGCGATGACCTGCGAGGGCTGCAAAGGCTTCTTCAGGTACACATTCATGCACTTTCTCTCATCCAATTTGGTATTCGCACATTTACACCGATGTTCATTAAGAAACCCATTAACACATATTATCTGTAACCAATGTGATACTGCCAGACTATTTTTTAGCGTTTTTGCGTGCGTGTTCATTAGGCGCAGTATGAAGCGGAAGGCCAGTTTTACCTGTCCCTTTAATGGAAGCTGCACCATCACTAAAGATAACCGTCGCCACTGCCAGGCCTGCAGACTCAAGCGTTGCCTGGATATTGGCATGATGAAAGAGTGTGAGTTACTAGCCAACATGACACATCTCGGAACACTGATTACTGGGAGCCAAGACATACTTTGTTATATCATGTTTTAATTATAGTTTAGATTTTTATTTAACCTGGAGTTTCAAAAGCTTCCAAATGTCATTTTTGTGATCTTGAAGGGCTCTGCAGTAATGGCATGCTATTTGTAAGGTTGTTCCAAACAAAAGCATGTAAGATGATCCATTCACAAAAGGCCCCGAAAGGCAGTTAGCAAAATGATACTTAGGCTAAGGAAGTAGTTTCACCATTTATGAGCACATGCTCCTGAGTGGCAGCTCTTTGCGAATCATTTTGAAAGTGAAAGCTGCTTCAGAATATGGATTTCACAATGTTTGATTGCTCTTGTGTTTTGAAGAATCATCAGTGGAAATTATAGCTTGTATGTTATCACTTTTTTTTTAAACAAACATCACATGCAGAAAGATAAGATATATTTGAATTAAGTAATAGAAAGGCAATATTTGATGCAAATGTTTTAATGTCCCCAACAATTGTAATAGCTATAAACCTGAATATTTCTTTAAACCTACAAATAAAAAGTTTAATTTTTATTTAGAGAGACTGAAAATTAATAATAAATAATGCTTAGATTAGTGGGGGGAAAGGAAGAGAAATATCCAGTAGAAAGGGAAATAAATGTTCAGATAATGTGGTTCAATTTTTTTTCAGACATTTCTACAAGTAAAAATGGTCTGATGGAATTGTTCTCCTCATTGTCAGTATCTATGAGACTGAATTAAATTAAAGCTATTGATTAAACTGTACTCTATCAAACTATACTAAAGTAAATTATAATGAATTATGGTTGTAATATAACACTGGAGAACAACATACGATTTTAGTTCCTCATTTTTTAAATCTGTATTTTACCTGTAATAAAATTATATTACATGGGCATAGCAATAATACTCATCTGTCTTTTTCCTTCAGTTATATTGACGGATGAGGAAGTTCAGAGGAAAAAGGAGCTGATCCAGAGGAGAAAGGTTGAGGAGGCGCAGAGGGAGGTGCAGAAGCCCCAGCTTTCAGAAGAGCAGCGCAGCATCATTGATACGCTGGTGGATGCGCATCACAAAACCTATGACGATTCCTACTCTGACTTCTCACGCTTCAGAGTAAACTATTCATCTGATTTTTCTCTGTTCTCTTCCTCTCTTCTGCATACCATTCAGTCAGTTTTAAGATGTTCTTGAACAGTGGGCCCAGTGAGGTTTTGGACACTTAAGTGATATTTAATGCAGGCAACATTAAGCATCAAACCAAGCGGCATCTGTAAACAAATGATTCTAGAGCTTTAACATTTCTCAACCAACTGGTGCTAAAATGATTTTAAGTGATCATACCATACCGTTCAAATGTTTGGGGTTGGTAAGATTTTTGTCTTTTAAAAAAATTGTTTTTGAATGAAGTCTCAATAGGCTCACCAAGGCTGTATTTATTTTGTATTATTACAATTTAAAATGACTGTTTTCTATTTTAATATATAATATGGATTGTATTCCTGTGAAGGCAAAGCTGAATTTTCAGCAGTCATTACTCCAGTCTCAAGTGTCACATGATCCTTCAGAAATCATTCTAATATGCCGATTTGGTGATCAAGAAACATTTCTTATTATTATCAATGTTGAAATCAGTTTTGTGGAAACCATGATTAAAAATTCTATGATGAATAGAAAGTTCAAAAGAACAGCATTTTCCACTTTTGTTCAATCTAATGTGTCCTTGATGAATAAAAATATAGATTTTTGTTTTTTAAATGAAAAAACATCTTACTATTCCCAAATTTTTGAATGGTGATGTATATATGATATCCCAAATGTTTGCTATATGTCAAATAAATCCCATTGTTTTGATATTTTGTTATATAATAATGCAGAGACATTCTTACATTTTTAAGTGCTCAAATACTTTTTGGGTCCAATTTTTTTTGTCTTTCTTACTTAGGCATCCTTTGCTATTTTTTTTCAGTGTGTTCTTATGTTTATGTGTGTTTTGTTGCAGCCTCCAGTTAGAGAGGGTCCAGTTACACGTAGTGCCAGCCGAGCCGCGTCTCTTCATTCACTATCAGATGCCTCGTCAAACTCCTTCAGCCACTCTCCAGGTGACACACAAACGCACAAGCATATACACATGCGAAACAAATGCACACAAACACTCATTTGTGCGTAAATCACCTGTTAAGTTTCTTCTGAGAAATATTTTTCAGCCCAGTCTGAGGCGCGGGCAGGCGTGTGTTTGTGTGTTAGAGAGTTGTGTGTCTTATATGCACAGCAGGCTCTGTCCATCCCCTTACCAAAAAGTAGTATACTTCAAGTTTATTTTAGCAAGTATACTTAAGTAAAGTTCAAGTATATTTTTAAGTATACTTTATGTAGTAAGTATACACATATCAGTGTACTAGTAGTATACTTGTAAGTGTACTATTTCAATACTCCTTGGGACTAAATTGGCCCACTTTCTAGTATATAAAAGTATACTTTTAAGTATACTTTAAGTATAACAGTAGTAAACTTTGAGTACACAACTAGTTTACATCAAAATGTTTAGTTTGTACTGCAACTATACTAAAAGTGAACTTATAGGTATACTGATAGTTTACTAATTAAATACTTGTAGTAGCATTTTTAGTACACTTTGAAGTATGGTCTTAGTAAACTACTAGTTTAGTAGTTTTATACTGCAAGTATACTCGTAAGTTTTCTTTAAGTGAACTTTACATCATACTTTAAGTATACTACTATGTCCCTATTTAGGTATTAATTTGTATATATTTTGTTACATGAATATCTGAACATACAAAACATCAAAAGAACAGGGTATCTGCTTGTAAACAAAAACATTTTATTCTAGCTTCATTCTTTTTTTAAACACTTGAATGTGGATAAGTTTCATAAATAAAAAATAAAGAAATAAACAACATTTTGAACAAAAAGCTGAAAAAAAAGACTGAATTGGATTCAGAATGATAATCAAAACGTAGATAAAGTCGATCAACACCCCAAAGCTTGACAGTTATTATTACCTCTTCATGGGTCGACATTTTATTCCATAATGTTACATAGTTTTGATACTGTTTTATGTCTGATGATCGTGTTAGATTACATGTGGAAGCATCTGTTGTTTCGGTTTCTTCTTCACTTGTGTTTTTTGGAAATTCTGTACAGAAGATGTGTACTAGCACCCCCTACCGTATAACAATGAAAACACGGATTCTAGGAGCACAATTATAGCTAAAATATATTTAGACTTTTTCTAAGTATAAGTCAAGTATACTTAAATGTCATTTTAAGTATATTTCTGAGAAGTACATAAAAAGTAGACTAAAAGTATACTTTCCTATTTTTAGTTTAAAAGAAGTATACTAATAGCACACTTGAATAAACTTCTTTTTCGTAAGGGTCTCACCCTGCCTGACGTCACAGGAGAGCCACTCTAATGACAAACAGACTATTCACATGCGTACATGTATACACACACACACACGGCTCATCCTGGAAGCAGCAAGTTGTTTTTGTAACTTTAAATATGACATTAATCATAAACTCTCTATTGGGGTGGGGGGGTGTGGCCATAATCTTACAGCGCACACTATGAGTACTTTAAGATTTTTACAAATAAATAAAAATACCAATCGAAACAGTTCAGATTAATTTTCTGATTGCTGCAGATGTCTTCAGTGATTTTAGTGCAAGCTTTAGTAAGCATTTATTACAAATTTGAATTTTAAAAAATCCAAATGAATAAATGCAGTTACAATGTCAAGAAAAATAAACAACATTGATTTCCCCCATAATTGTGCAGTCATAATATATGAAAGCAAATTTAATGTACACAAAATTGCTGAAATAATCTTTTTCACAATATTTCCTTACAGTTCACTAAAACATTAAAAACAGAAGTTGTTTGTTGTCTGGCTGTATTATATAAGGCTGTTGGCAGATTTTGAAACATACACAAGGGGGAGATAACGCTTCTGTTAATCAGGACATGGATTAATACATGGATTGTTGAGTTTGAAAGGTGGCTCAGATGAAGCAAAGCATCTTTGATCTTTTTTTGTTTATTTTTTTCTGTCTCTTTCTCTCTCTCTCTTCACATCTGTAGAGTCAGGAGATCGTAAGATGAATCTGAGTAATATGTTGATGATGTATCAGGAGCAGGGTTTAAACTCCAGTCCAGACTCAAAGGAGGATGAGGGCACTGGTCTTTCCATGCTTCCTCACCTGGCTGACCTGGTTTCCTACAGCATTCAGAAGGTCATCGGATTTGCCAAGACGATTCCTGGATTCAGGTAAATTTTTGTTTGTGAACCGTCTTTTTTTTTTCTAAATTCATGAATTAATTTTATTTGAAATGGCAGGAGGAGGGATTTACTGAATTGCAATTTGAAGAAATTTGACAGTTACCAGAAGGAATTCAGTTTTGCAACAAAACTGAAGAAATTTTACAGCACAAAAACAGCAGCAGATTTTTTTTTTTTTTTACAGCAGTAATTTTGATTTTAATTACATATATATCTGAATTCAGTTGTGTTTTGAATTTTGCAGATTTGATTTTTACTGTACAACATCAGAAAATATGTACTAGTTTTCAAAAACTCTATAAAAACAATACTTTATATAGTCAATAAAAAAAAAAAATCTAAGTAAATTAGAGCATTCCGGGACATGATATACATGCTCCGTTCAGCTGAATAAAGCTGTTCTTAAAGGAATAATTCACCCAAAAATTTGCTGTTAATTTACATCCAAGATGTAGGTGACTTTTTTCTTGTAGAACAGTAAAGAAGATTTTTAACTGAAACCATGGTCCTTGGTAATTCATAAAATACAATTCAATGGCTACCACTGATTAAGACTCGTTTTTTTTTTTTTTTCATTTTTAATGCTTTAGACAAGTAAAACATCTGTGTTTCACTTCATTATTGGGTGCTTTAATAATATAATTGCGTGTACATTATGTCATTACCTGATTACATTAAACAAATTGATGAATCAGTTATTTGAACCTTTTCATTAAATCAAACTGTCCGAAAAGAATCTGGTTTCCTGGTTGCCTGAGTCTGTGGGTTATAGGTAATTGTGTTGTAAATAATATTCAGTTTCTTGCACTGACTGATCGTTTTTCTTCATAAGGCCTTAATATATCATCAGGAGCCACGGGTATTGTTTTTGTTGCCTGTATATGTTTTTTTTTTTTGTATTCTTAAAGTGACGGTAGCCATTCACTTGCATTTTATGAATCTCCAAGGACCATTTTTCAGCTACAAATCTTCTTTACTGTTCTACTGAAGACAAATAGTCCCCTACGTCTCGAAAGGCCTGAGGGTGAGTAAATTAACAGCAATTCATTTAATTTTTTGGTGAACTATCCTTTTAATTTCACAGGGTTTCATTTTTGTAGGTCTTGAGCAAGGATGATCTCTACATTCCTTTAATCCATTTTTGTGGTGCTTGTTTGTGGAAGGTTCCACCTTTTTCCCAACAGGCCAATGTTAACATGACTATCATCGATTTAATTTCCTCAGGAGCATAAAAATATGTTTGATCTTATAGACTGTCACTCTCCGTACATGTTTCTTGCCTGCCTCTGTGCACTTCCATGTATATCCCAGCTTCCTCAGAATGCGCGCACATACATATGCATGATGGACCGCATGTTGCTGTGGTAACCATAGGAGTGTCATGTTATCTGCACTGAATGCACCCACTCCCTCTTCATCTGCCATTCACAGAATCCAGCATGAGCCAACATTTGACGTGTGTGCATTTGTGTCTGTTTGTGTGTCTTAGAGAGCTGACAGCTGAAGATCAGATTGCTTTGCTCAAGTCCAGTGCTATAGAAGTGATCATGCTCAGGTCCAACCAGTCTTTCAGTCTGGAGGACATGAGCTGGAGCTGTGGAGGACCCGAGTTTAAATACTGCGTGAATGATGTCACGAAAGGTACACGCAAACAAACATACATTGTTTCATGCAGTGGCTGCAGTTTTGTTATTGTTTATTAAAACTAAATTAAAAAATAATTTTCATTAATTGAAATAAAGCTGAAATAAAGCTTACAAACTTAAATGAATATTATAAATGTTGCCCTGGCAACTAACTGAAATAAAATATGTTTGATGTGCTAAAATTAATAAAACTAAAACTGAAACAAAAATAAAAATGAAACTAAATAGAAATATCAAAAACAACAACATTAAAAAAATTAAAATGACAAAACCACAAAACAAAATTACTGAAAATGGAAATGAAACTGAAAATAAAAAAATAAAAGGTAATTCAAAATATTGATAAATAACATAATAGCACACAAACATACAAAAATAACACTGAATAGTTACATATTATGTCAAAGTTTACTTGGTATATCGCAAAGAGAAGGTTTCATTTGCATTTTATTTGATGTCAGCAGTGGGTTTGGTGATTTTGTGAAAGTTTTGTAAGGTTAATTTTTTTTTTTTTTTTTTTTCTCAAATTAATTTTTATTTTTATCCCAGTTTTATGCATGGAGACAATATACTGTCTCCAAAAAATGTGGACACTAAGCCAAAATTAAAAATGTATTCATATCTTTGTTTTGGGTAACAACATATAAAATTAACAAACTACCAAGACTGACATTTGTTTTTAAAAGAATATAGCACAAACATTTATGGTAACATTTTGCAAAGTTCAAACTTCACATGCATCAGGTATAATGAGCTAATAATGAATAATATTTTTTTTACAGCATTTATCTAGGCTAATGTTTTAAATAGTTAATTTATACTAGTTCAATTAATTCATTTTAAATGTTTAAACTGTATATGTACAAATTAACATTAGAAATTAGCATAAATATAGACCAATACATGAAAGTATTGATTATAATTGTTTTACTGAAGCTTGTTTTAAATTAAATTTAAATTAATGATGAATTAAGTATAATTAATTATAATAATTACTGTATAAACATGATCAATTAATAAGTAATTATAAAACAATAGATACTGTTTTCAAAAATGAAATAAAAAGGTTTTTAATCACTTTCTGGTTATCAAACGTTGTGAACAAGGTCCATAGTCCTTGTGATGAACAACACCTGTAGTTAGTCTCTGTTAATAATGAGCCTAATGAAATCATCCTGATTTTGTGTATGTTTGGGGGCACAGCTGGACACACTCTGGAGCTGTTGGAGCCTCTGGTGAAGTTTCAGGTGGGCTTGAAAAAGCTCAACCTACATGAGGAGGAACATGTGCTGCTGATGGCCATTTGCCTGCTGTCTCCAGGTCAGCGTGTATCCCATATGCACCAAGCATTAGACAGACTGAGACTTCATCCCGTGAAACAAGCCTGTGCTTGCAAACAGAAATCTCACTTGTCTGTGTTTGTGTGCTCGTAGACCGGCCTGGGGTGCAGGACCACGAGCGAGTGGAAGCGTTGCAGGACAGGTTATCTGAGGTTCTGCAGGCATATATCCGTGCGCATCACCCGGGGGGGTGTCTGCTCTACGCTAAGATGATCCAGAAGCTGGCGGACCTCCGCAGCCTGAACGAAGAGCACTCCAAACAGTATCGCTCCCTTTCTTTCCAGCCCGAACACAGCATGCAGCTGACCCCTCTGGTGCTGGAGGTGTTCGGTGGACAGGTCACTTAGCAAGTTCACCCAAGTCGGAGCAAGACATGCGGGTCAAACGGCGTGACCCGGAGGATTGTGGAGTGGAGTGAATGTACGGTCAATCACCTTAAAATGCATACAGAGTTTCCAGGATGAAGTTTGGCTTAAATCCACTGGCTCTAGTATACTGTAGTTGTCAATTGAGTTTAATGTTTACAGCCCTGAGCAGTGCAGGTGTGTGTGTGTGTGTGCATGCGTGCGTGCGTGCGTGGGTGCGTGCGTGCGTGTGTAAGTGGTATCCCTCATCATTTACAGATCGGCTAGAGAGTGCCATAGATGTTTGCATTTGTTTGTTGTATGTAAGGAAGACATTCTCATGAGAATGTAATATGGTCATGGTGTTTTTCACTGTGGCAACTCAATACAGTATATTTTACTGTATTATCAATAGCCAACAGTATTACACTGCATGTGTAGGATGAGTGTGTGAGCGTGCAGTCCTGTTCTAAACCTCTGCATGGTCCCCAAAGCGCTGTCCACTACTGCTGATGTCCTGTCTCTTCACCTCCTGCCTTTAAATGCACAGGGTTAAAAGTACTAATGCAAGCACACAGCTCTAACTCACCCCTCGCCTAGCCACTTAACCAATCAAACAGCAGCTCCGCCTCCCTTTCCTCTGCCTCCAGAGCTCTGATAAGTCGCTGAACAATGGCTATCTTCTCTCCTGTTATTTGCCTGTGCTGTGATTGGCCAATAACCTGACGCCTCCACAAAGTGGTCAGTGCAGCATTAGCGCTCGCCACGCAGCTAACCTGTAAATAAGACTCGGTATCTATATTCGTAACTTTTCAAATCAGTGTAAATAGAGTTTGATATAAGCGCTTCTTGTGGCTAATGGTAGAATCTAGCAGAGGGAGACCCTGCAGCCCTGGCTGGTTATAATGAATAGGTAAACAAAGACTACGATCTAACTGCGTTTATGAAAACATACAGGAAACTGAATCATGATTTACGTTTTAAAAAACAGCTTAACCTCCATTCTTTACATTGTCGTAAAGTCCTGTAGGTTACATATTTCTCAAATCTTCCATTCTATCATTCTTTTTTTTTTTGATTAGTTCAACTAATTACATTTTTTTTTCAACATTTTATCCTTCGTTAACAATCATATTTTTTTTCTCATGACACCGCTAACAAAATCCTGAATGCTTTTTTATCATGAATTTCATTTATTTTATTTTTTTATTTATAGCACATTTCACACAAGCAAGAGTTATACAGCTAAAATAAAAATGTCTGGGTCATATTTCAACCCAAAAGAAAAGAATCTCCCCAGATGAAATTTGAATTACTCTAATATGACAATGGATATCATCCATATTACAATTATGTATTATTTACATTTTAAATAGTATATATTTTTCTCTTCATATTACATTAATGAGGATTTTTTTTTCACATTATGGTATTCAAAAATTGTGGGAAAACATTCTTAATAAATAAAATTAATTGGAATACTTGAAAATCATGTCACTTTAAAAAAAGAAAAAAAATCATAGTTTCATAGTTTGGAGTGAACTATGACCCATGAACTATGGTATCTTCCTGACATGTTGTGGGAGTTTGTTTTGCTTTGGGAGATAATACTAACTTATTTGGTTCTCACGTTTTTAAAGTAACTAAAAGCAGCATGCTGGGTAATTTATGATTTAAATTTTTGTCATCTGTTACTGTGGTGTTCCATGCTTCCTGGGTATATTTGATATTTTGTTGGCACAGGGAGGTTCTTCAAAGCATATTCTGATTACAGCATAACACAACTCAGCATTCTTCTCTTATGCTGGTTGTTATTATCTAAACAGTAATTATGTTATTATCTAAACAGTAATAATTATCTATACATGTCGGGCATGGTATAGACTTTGTTTTTGCATGACACCGTGTTAATATCACATTAGCCACTGGCTGCGTTGTGTCCTCTAAAACAAACATAACTGCCTTAACTTGGCCTCAGCTGTTCACAGTTATTCACTTTAATTGATCTTTTTATGCTTTTTAATTATGTAAGAGTCCTTTTCTCTACTGTATAAATTATCTGTAAGTGATATTTGCGAGACTGTCGTCAAGGGCTCCTTGAGTCGCAATATAGGGCTGATGCTTACAGAGCTCTATACATTTTTCTTTCATGATCTTATTGCTGTCTTTCGACTGTCTGTTTTATCGTCTTCATGCCTTCTGTCTATTCTAAGCTGCTCAGTACTTTGTGGGATGAGGGCGTACACTCAATTTTAAACTGGAAAACTATGAAATCTTCCAGTCTTGAGCATTTTTGTAATCATTCACTCACTTGTTTCATTCTGATTTCACGATGAACGAGTGAGAATATCCCTGCAGCACTTCCCATAAATATAGATCAGACAAACCAGGACAACATGTCACGTTTAAACAGTTGCAAAGTATACAGTATGCATGGTGATGATGATGATGGCGAGACATGAGAAAGACGAAGATGAAATTGATGTTGGTCTCTTTTCCGAGTCCAAAATGTAACCATAACAAACTACCTCTCTGGGGAACAGAAACATTTGATTTGTATTTTTTTATGATTCATGTTTGTATTTATTGCAGTGGCTCACATGGACAACCCAGTACCTCATGTATGAATATCACTTAACAACAAAGACGCCTTAACAGCTGTTATATCAGATTTGTTT